TTGAATATCCTGAATGATCAAATTGGAGGCCTGCGTACTGAAATGCAGTGGTTATCTTGAGGAAGCACATTTTTATGTAACGCTGAGATTTAATTCACTGTTTTTATTGAACTTCATTTTCTTATGGTACAGGCTTGTTATAATAAATTACTCCACCCTCCTCCACAACTCCCTGGCTTCTTTCAAGTTTTTCTCTTTGTCTTTGGTATCTTTCTGGTTGAAATGGTATACATTGGTTTGGCATTGTGGGCATTTATTTTCCTTGGTGTTCTCTGAGCTTCCTATTGGGTTGTCAGAAGAGTCATGACCTATTTCACTCTGTTTTGTGTTGTACTATGCAAAAATGAATCATGACATCATGACTTTGCTGACAACCTAATAGATCTAGAGTTTACTGTCTATCATTGGTTTTTTAACATCCACAACTATTATTACTTCACTTTTTCATTCTATTATTTTCTCTTCTTCTTTTGGTATTTCCATCATGCATATTGATACCTTTTATTATTATCACATGGTGTTTGGATATCCTGTTCCTTTTTCTTCATTATATTTTTCTTTACATTTAAGTTTATGATGTGGCTGTTGACATATCTTCATGCTCATAGATTCTTGGCCATATCCATGTACTAATGGAGCCATCCAAGGCATTCTTTATTTTACTACAGTATATCTATTCTATTATTGTGTTGCTTTTTTAAAAAACTACCTTATACTACACGATTTATTAAGAATAGTAGATTATGTGGCTCACAAGTCTGGTAGCTAGAAAGTACTAGAGTTTAGGGCCACAATCTGGCCAACCTTGGGTCCTACATCACAACATGGCTGACCAAAGGAGGAAGTTCAGTACTTGCCTGCAAAAAGCTGTGATTGATCATTGATGACTAACCAAGGTTAACGTAATCTCAATGCCCAAATTGCAGTCATCATCAATTGAGTTCCTAGAAAATCCATGATCCAAATCATAATTTTGATTTTAACCATCTAATAAGGCAGACTTCAGCTCCCCTTACACAACCTGTGCTCCATACTTCATGGTTGCAATGTCTCTTCTGGTATGAGCATGCCTCTGTAATTAAGGTTCGTATCCCAGTCTCTGATCACAGTTTAATAGCATCCAGAAGGTCACCAGGACACAGCAGGCCTAAAGTCATCTCAACGTTCAGATGTTCAGTGAGCCCCTTCTGAGGTAATTGTACAGCCTGAATGATTTCAGCATGATTCTCTTCTGAACTGTGATTACACCAGTTTAACAAGGCTTGAAAAATATGTTTTTCAGGAGTACAAATGAATCTCTTAATACAGAGTTTAAAAGTGCTGTTTATAAAGGGAGATAAAACCTTTGCTTGAGAGCACCCACTGAGCATTTCTGTCCATAACATGCAACACACACAAGTTAACTGGCGAAGAGAGTAGAGACTGGCATCATCAAAAGTAGTACAGACATACTGAATGTTAAGTATGGTGCAGATACTCAGAGCTTGAGTCTTCCAGCTCTAGAAATCCATATTTCTGAGCCAGGCTCAAAAAGTCCAGGAGTACCTCCTCCTTATCTATCAGGATCACCTGCCCAAAGTATGTATTTCAGTAGCATCATGAATGCTTCTGCAGTGGTATCTTGGAGAGGGATTTCTGCTTCAGACTGAGACTCTCATATTGCACTATCCAGTAAGGCTTGATTATCCGTCACATGCAGATGCTCCTGTGGGACTGGGATAGCCAGTCTTATTCATACTTCATTGAAGTGTCAGTAGATGAACTCAGTTGGATCAGAGTGATAGATCATTCACAATAACCATGTTGTTCTTAACAAAGTTACATTTTCCTGCCTGTGTCTGCAGGGCACTTTGTGCTATGCCCTGAGCTGTGACCCACCTAGTCTTCAATCCGTGCTTCCATTTTCAAGGGCAAAACACACTTTGGTTAGATGGAAATTCTGTCATGGAAATTCTATGTCTACCTCTGCCTTCCAAGGTTGGCCCAACAGGGTACAGCCTGTACTATGCAGGTTGGTAAAACTATAAATTGTATTGCATTTCATGGCTAGGTTATCCACTTTGTTATATATTCTTCTTTTCTGGTTATTCTTTTTCTGCTCTTACAGAAATAACAAAGCTAATTTAACAATTGCAGACCATGCAGAGTGCAGACACCTTTGAGATTACTGGCAAGGCAACCAAATGCTGTCTTTATAAAGAATCTAAATTTACTACTCAGTAAATAAATTTTTCCTCTCTTTTCTTTTTCTTTAGAAATTGTTAAGATTGGATTAAACAATTTCATATGCAAGATAATACACTAACGTACTCTCAATTTCTGAAGGAAATATTTTATAGTGTTTCCTGCCAATGTGACGTATCAAGGTAATTGTAAATTCTTGTATGAGTGGACAATTTTGAGTTAAGTACTATAAGTTGTATGGCTTCCAGGACTCAAAGACTCTACAGCATGTAATGAATGAAGGTGGCTCTACGTTTATTGAAAGGGCAAGATGTGGCTAAGGAATAGAGATGACATATTACAAGCTGAAAATTGAGTGAGTGAGTGAGTGGTATAATCCAAATTAAAATTAGGCGAAATGATAAAAAAAATGCAGAACTGTGGATAGCCACCTTCCTTTTCTAATAACCAGCTGTTACGGGAACTAACCCACTCCTGGTAGTAGGGAACTCACTCACTTCCACAGAGTGACAGTAATCAATTCACAAATGCGGTACCCTCACGATTCACGTACAGTCTATTATGTTCCACCTTTCAAATCTCTCATAACTTCTCAACACCACTACACTGTGGATCAAGTGTCTGTCATACAAAGGGTGGGAAGACAGTCCATATCCTAACCAAAACCACTTCTTTTTTTTTTTTTTTTTTTTTTTTTAGAGTTTCTTGCTCTAGGGGTGTGTTGTTCAGGGATAGAGAGAAAGAAATAATGAGAGGGAAAATTAAAAATCACCCCATGGTGGAATAGCCATCCCACAGTCCCTTCTCCATTCTCCTCCCATGATCTTGGGCTTACACGTTCATACACCCAGCCTGAGTTTCCAGCCATTGGGTCCGTGACTTAAACTACTGTCAGCCATGTAGGATTCCAACAAAATTACCACCACAACCCCCAAAACCACTTTTTCACAGTGCTTTTGATTTGTAGCATTGTCTTGTGATTATTTCTTAGCATTTCTATCCCTCTACTCATATTCTGCATCTTTTCTTACCCATTGTCAATTTTTCTTATCACAGCCTTCATCACATTAATCATAGTTACTTGAAATTCCCTGAATTCTAACTTCAAAATCTGAACCATACCTTAAGCTTTGTATCTTCAGACCTTTTTGTTTGTATTTTTATTTCATTTATTTTTAAAATTATTTAAAATTCTCTCTATATATTCAATCATTATATATCATTATATCTTGCAATATTAATTTTCTTAGCATGAACACACTGTATATCAGTCCTCTTAAGATATTATCTTACACATTATCAACAGATAATTTTTTCCATTTTTGTGCCCCTGAAGTATTTTGCTTCTGTTTCTCCTTGATTCTCTTCCCCTCAGCCTCCCCCATTACACATCCTCCTCCCATACTGTCTTTAGCAGTGGCGATTATTCTTCATGCATTTTATATCTTCCAGTCTTTCAGTTTCTGCCAAAGAGTACGGACTTTAGGTATACATTAAGTGGAAAAATACTATATCTCTCTTCAGATTATGTTTTGATTTGTTTTGTATTCTTTTGTTTTGTTAGTGGGATCTGCAATTTCCCTTGAAGGGGGCACATAACGTACTAGTGGATGGAAACCAAAGGAAAAGGCCTGGAGGGTGAGGCTGTAGAATAATAGCCACAGGAGCTAGTGTTTAATCTCTACACGCGCCTGGCGTGAGATTTAAGCCACCGGGTCCGAGACGCGAACCGCGGTCGACTACGTGGGAGTCCAGCGACATAGCCATTACGCTAACTGCTGGTTCCCTTCAGATTATGTTTTGATATGTTTTGTATTCTTTTGTTTTGTTAGTGGGATCTGCAATTTCCCTTGAAGGGGGCACATAACGTACTAGTGGATGGAAACCAAAGGAAAAGGCCTGGAGGGTGAGGCTGTAGAATAATAGCCACAGGAGCTAGTGTTTAATATGTGCTCTGTCTACAGGTACAAGCGCCTTAACATTTCTTTGCAGTCCTTTTCATCTATCCTGTTGCCTTTGGGATTTTTGCTTGCCCATTTACTAGAAGAACCTGGTAGAGTTCTTAAAACTAAACTGGTGAAAGTATGAAGGCTTACCCAGAACTGCAGCCTTTGGGAGTGTCTCACTCTTAATGCCAGCACATACACAATTTCCAGCAATTTCTGCAAGGTACCATTGAAATATTCCTAAGAGTTTATTGCTACAAAGGTTTCTTCTCTAGGCTAACAATAAACATGAGGCCTTAATATATTGGAGAACTTCTGCAGATATCTGGGTACCAATTTGTCTTGACTCCTCAATTCTCCAATTAGCTCAAACACAGCATGGTGGTTTAAACATTGTTCAGATGTTTTCTTGTTTTAAAGAGGAGTAACAACTTCCAATGATCTTTGTATCAGGTTGGTTACAAGAAGTCCATGTAATTCATTATTTGCTATATATTATAAAAATCACTTTCTGTGTGCATTAACTATTTAAAGAAATGATCGTTCATGGAATATAATTTTAGAAGTACCGTTTTAAATAAGAGCAGACACCCTTCAATCTCCCCAAAAAGACTGGTTGTATCACTCTACTTGTAGGAATTTGTAGGCAGTGAGTGTGTGGAATACAATATGTCTTCTGTCCATAACACAAATCCCACAGAAGAAGAGCCTACACAAAAATCACAATACATAATAGAGACGTATATGTGGCCATTTTCTCTTAGGATTTGATGCACCTGGGTGAAGGCAAGATCCATAGATTCCTCACCAAACCACTTCCCTATCCCACACAGGAATTAACTATTAGAGTAGATGATAAAAACAATCAAGTATAAATTAACATTTTTATTGTTGGGTCTCAGACCTCAGTATATGAAATACAAAGAAGAGCCTGAAATGCAAGTAAAGGAAAGAGAGGACCAGGGAGGGTTAAAATGAGGTGGTCTGGTTTGGGGTTGTGGGGAAGAATAGTCCATTGGTGCGATGGTCTTCACATGGGGTCCTAAATCCATGATCTGCTGCAAACCCAACTCAGGCTGATGAAATTCCAGCCGCCCTAGCTCTTGAACTTGCAGACGTAGGGTAACTTCAACTCACAGTTATAATCTCTCCACCTCAGAAATCCTGGAGGGACAAACGAGGTAAATGAATAGAGCTAATGGAGCTGTAGGACACAATGAATAGGCATCCAGGATCCCAGATCCTGTCCTGGGATTACAGCTTCTCCCTCATCTTTATCCCATTACAGATGAAGAAAAAACAAAGCAACATGAGATGAGAGGAAATGAAAGAAGACAAACAAGTATTGCATGAATAAGCACAGGAAAATTTTCTAAAGTTAGGTCCAGAATAAAGAAAGAGGGCAGAAAAGACTGGACAAATATGTCTCTTCTATCTCTTACCTGCACTTCTTGACAGGGTCGCACAGTGTCCAGGATTTGAGACCGTGGTAGGATCTCTCTCCCAGGCAAGGTAATTCAGCACATCACCGCTGCTCCACTCCCATCCCCCTCCGTTAGGCTCATAGCCCTGCAGGGCAGAGGACACAGCCAGGTGAAGGGATTGGCCATTGGAGATCTCCTTGTACAACTGCATTATCTATAACAGTTGATCCCCTCCCCAGAATCTGGAAGATATCTGTTTTCCATATGCTGCCATTGGGCACTCTCTACTGAGAAGCTTCTCCATAACACCTCTATTCTATTGGCAAGCCTTTGGTGATTTGGCCTTAATAACCATTCACACATTATGTTTCCTGCTG